AGCTGGAGCGAGAGCGCCTCTCGGTGCCGCCGAGAAGGGACTCCCAGCCCGGTGTTCCCCCCACTACCCACCCGCAGGCAGGAAGTGCCGGTGCAAATTCAACCAGCAGCAGAGGTAAGGGGCCCTCCCTGCACTCATTCACCTACTCCCGCTCCACGGGGGCTCTGGGGGTGAGGCGGGGAGTCCACCCAGCCCGCAGCCAGAGACCCTTCAGCAAATTTGTATGTATTAAGCACCTACTAGGTGCCAAGCCCCAAGCCAGGTCCTGGGACCAAGCAGTGATTGAACGGCCCTCTCTGCCGGGCGGAGCGCCCAGCCCGGTGGGCGGTGGCCGTCGGTTCCAACTGCTTCACAAAAATAAAGTCACAAAGCGTGATGAGTGCTGTGCAGGAGCCGCGGCGAAATGAGATCACCACTTGGTGGCCCAGTTTAGCTCAGTCTTGCTGCCAGCTCTTTGGTTCATCTTCAAATAAAAATTTAAAGCCCAGGGTGCATAAGCACAGGCGCCTTCTCTATGTTGAAACAATTATAGATGTTATCATAAATAATAGCTAATATTTCGTGGGCGCGTCCTCCGTGACGATCCCGTTGCGCGGTGTATGCCCCTTGCCAGCGCGTCTCCGAGGTAGGTGTTATTAACCTCCGCGCACAGGGGAGAAAGCCGAGGCTCAGGGAGGTGGAACCACTTGCCTGTCCTTCCCCTCGGAGAGGAGGCCATCTCGAGGCAGTCTGCCCCTCAAGTCCCTTTGGTCATACGTCCCCCAGCAACTCCAGTCCCTGCCCCAGCACTGCGGGAGGTTCTCGCTGGTACCCGCCGCGAGCGCCTCCCGCCACAGCTTAAAGCGCTCCCGGGTGCCCCCGATTCCTGGCGGAGCCCCAGCCGGCTCCCTCCCCATCTGGCCCCAGGGCCCGCGGGTCTGCGAAATGAGGGCTGCCTCGGAGGGATCATCGGGGCTGGTTGCCTTTTTTTTTTTTTTCCCATTCCCAATTCCTCTGCTTCTCTATTCCCAGGACTGGGGAACCTGATGAAGAGGAGGGAACTTTCCGCAGCTCCATCCGCCGTGAGTTTGGGGAGACTTCGGGTGTTTGGGGGTGAGGGTTGGTTCCAAGACACCCCCACCCCCGTTCCTGGCCCTCTCTGGGCGTGTGGAGGGTGGGGCTTGATCTCAAACCGGAGGGTGGGGAATTGCCCTGCTGCTCCCCACTCCACAGGGACCGGGGTGCCCCTCCTGACACCCGAACTCTGTGTTCCCCCTCAGGTCTGTCCAGCCGCAGGCGGTAGAAACACCTGGCGCGATGGAACCCAGCCAGGTCCTGCAGCTCCGTCTAGGCTGGGGGAGGGGGCGAAGGGCGGAGGCAGACGGGCTGGGGGACGCTCCCGACGCCCCCTTTTCACCCCCACAGGATTCTCCAGGCACCTGACCCCTCCCACCCACCACCTGCGCACCCACTGCCACCTGGACTGCCCTCCTCCCCAGCCCGGACCCCACAGACTTCTCTCCGCCGCCCAGACTTCCAATAAAACGTGTTTTCTCTCCTGACAGCATTTTGTGGATGTCAGTCCCTCTGCGCGAAAGCCTGGGCGGGCACCCTCTTGGACCCGGCAGGGGGCGCCCCCACCCTTGGGGAAGGGGCGGAGACCTCAGCAGTGGGCGGGGGCGGGGGCGGGGGTGTCCAGGTCGGAGGCGGGCTCTCCGGGCCCCCATTGGCTACGGCCCCCCCAACACCAGGGCTCCCCCATCTCCCCCAGACATCAGTCCGTGCGTCTTCCAGCTGCTGCAGCCGCGCCTTCACCGCATCGGCATCCAGCCGCCCCCTGCTCCAGCCCGGCATGGCGACCCCAACCCAGGCCCCCACAAAGGGTGAGCGTCGCCTGGGGAAAGGGCGCAGGGGGGCTCCGGGATCTAAGAGCTTCAGAGAGAGGATCTGGGGAGATATCAGTACTGGAAAGGGAGGGGAGTGGGGAAGGGGATGTCCGTTCCTCCCATGGGCTGAGGCCCTTGCAGCGCACCCCTTGGCACCCCTCTGGGCCTCTTGGACACCCTCTCCCGGTGGTGTCGTTCTGTGCGGGACCCGTGGTCGGAGAGCAGCGGTCCCGAGAGAAAGGATGCTCGGACCGGTAGCTATGGCAACCGGGTGGCTGATCCTGCACAGCACAGCGATGGTAGTGGCCCCGAAGAGACGGGCTTTGAGGGCGGGAGCCGGTGGGTCAGCAGCCACGGAGGTTCTCGCCCTTCCAGGGTCCCTGAGGTGGGTAAGGGGGGTGGGGGGGTCATATCCCTCTTTTTTCCCAGTGCTAGCTTCTCTGGTGGTGTTTCCTGAAATCCCTGACGGGCAGGTTCAGTGGGAAACGGGAGAAAAAGGGCAAGAGAGGGAGATGGAGGAAATGAGAGAGAGATGGAGAGAGACAGAAAGAGAGGGAGACAGGAATATAGAAAGAGACTGACTGGGAGCCTGAAAGAGGCAGACAGAGATCAAGAGAGACAGGAGACCCAGGGTCAGAGACCCAGAGACCCAGAAAGACAGATATGAGACTCAGAGAGATTCTGGGAGAGTGGAGAGAGACAGACAGCAACAGACAGAAATGCAGAGAGAGAGAAAATCAGAGAGAGAGAGGGAATGAGGCAACCGTGCAGAGGGAGGCACAGGGAGAGACAGGAGGTGAGAGAGAGACCCAAGCGCCAGAGAGGGACGGAGAGAGGAGGAGGGGCAGCACAGGGTGGGGCCTGGGCCGCTGCAATGAGCCCCCCTGGGCAGGAATGGGTGTCAGGACCCTCCTTTCCAGCCCTCATTCAGGGGCGTCGTCTGGTCCGGGGGCTGCACATGGGTGGCACAGATGCTACTCCCCACCCCCAGCCAGCCACAGGGATGTACATTTCACACCCATTAACCCAGTTCTATGCACCCACTTAAACACGCTCTCTCCCCTAAGAGCCTCCTCTCCCGAGCCTGCCTCTTCAGAGGAGCCAGGGGAAGAATGGTTTAATTGAGGGTGGGGGGCAGAGGAAGGGTTGCCAGCACCGAGAGCAGGGCCAGGGGATGAGGCTAGCGGTGCTGAGGAAACCCCACTCCACTCCAGTCTTGCCTTCCCTGCCCCCTTTCCCGGTAGGCAGGGGCTGCTGCACTGAGCCGTATCTGCAGGATTGGAAGCAG